CAAATTTATTCCAAAAATAATAATGATATCATCATCAGATCAGAGCAATATATGGGTGATGTTACAAGGGGCAACACTTGGTAATGTTGTTAATTATGCCACATTAAGCATCAACCACAGCTGCAGAGACTATATCATTAACATGGAAAGCAAACATTATAATAAATGTTGGGGGGAGGGGGCTCTACTTCAAATTTGTAAACTGACCCAAAAATTAAATGGAACAAATTTGAGCTTTAAAAAAACCAAAATGAGATTTAGCCATGATTAGTTCTGGCCGTAATGAGGAACATAGAACTCTTCAGTACTTATTGAAAACATTTGATTATATTAATGCTTAATTGAATTAAATTATTTAAGACATGCTGGCTTTTAAAGGTCCTAGTTATTCTCTCTGTGTGTGTGCTTTTGCTGTATCACTTTTACTCTCTTGTATTTTAGGACTCTGTTTCTGGCTAGGGTCTTCCAATTCCTGGAAGATTCTTGTGGATTCTCATTCACTCTCCACACGGAGGAAAATCCATGTGGAGGATCAGTCCCATCAAATATCACATGTGGAGCTCCATAGGATCCATTCCAAAAGTGGAAACAAAGATTATATGGATGGAAGGGACCTTTGGTTATGGTATCTCTGGGAAGAAAGATCCATACAGTTATGAGGAGCCATCGCACAGACTGTGAGAGACAAGACCTCCCTGCTAGCTGAGGAATGCTCCACATTCAAAGCCCCCCAAAGCAATTAGCGATTAAGGGGGTTAAGAAAAAACAGGGACAAGACAGAGGCATCACTTTTCTCTCTTGCAGAGATTATCCACTATCAAGGGAGAAGAAATGAGAGATCAGGCTTCAAGTGTCGCCAGACCTCCATGAGCGCCTCATCCCATCCTGTAATTGACTGCCTCACCCCGAGGCTAGACTTTATTCGGAGCTGTCAATTTGAAAAGACCCCAAACCTAAACCCACAGATTATATGTGATACTGTTATGGCGGTCTTTCTGCCTCTCACATTGTGGGTGTTTTTATGGAATGATACACAGTTAATGCATCTTGGAGTCACCCACAAGATGGGCACTTAGTTTGAGAAAACCATTTTTTTCCTGGATAGTCAATAAACATCAGATTTTGCTAGGCATTTTCTATAGCAGCTTTGGATCACTTTTTAGAGAGATAAGGTAGGATATAAATAGGAGGAGGAAACTTGCTAGGTTTTGACCAGAGTTTAGAAAAGTTACTCAGAATTCTGTGCTAAAAAGTGGCCCTACAAGCTAAGAACTTTTAGGAATTTATGGTGTACTTTTAGGATTTTTACTAGAGTAAGATGCATGATTTTATTCTTGTTTCTTAGACTCCATCGTAGCTCAGTCTTGGCCAACTAATCCATAGTTCTGCCAAGTATTACCCTGGTTTTGGTTTTGCTTTGGTCGTAGCTTGATTTTCCAGTTTCTTGCATGCTCCAGCTATTGAATAACTAGTTCTTGCCCTTGACCAACCAAATGCCCACAGGTTCTAGATTCTGACTAATCAGTTTCTGCCCAACTCCTCGCAGCCCACCCTACCAGGTTCATTTTTCCATCAGCGTTATAAAACGGAGGCTATCCTCTGTCAATCATCTGAATTGTTCCTGCAGAATTCTGGAAAATGTAGTTTAGGGAAGTGGAGAACCTCTCTTGCTGAGAATTCCAAAGGCTCCACTCTGGACTACATTTTCCAGAATTCTGTAGGAGAAACTTGGATGACTGACAGATGGTAGCCTCTGTTCTATAGCGCTGGTGGGAAAGCGTCCTATGATTTTGGCTGTAACCCCTGGCCAAGGTGTCCATATCTGAACATGAAAATGTGATCGCCATACTTATGAATGGCTACAAAATGTAGTGATATGTATACAGACAAATCTCATTCTGAGATCCTTTGAAAACTATACAGCTATCCAGAGCACTGTTGAACTCCAGACCCCTTTATTAACAGAGGTTGGGAAACTACTTTGGTGGACTACAACCCTGAGAATCCTATAGAAACCTTGGACACTTGGGGATAATGCAAATTGGGATCCTAAAACGTTAATCTCACACAGCAGCTAAAATCAATCAGCTGAGGTTATGTTGGTTGCTGTAAATATGAACTTTAAAAATTAAGATCTGGGCTGCAAAAGAAGGTGAGTTCTATCCAGGATCAGAGTATGAAAGTAAACAATATGCATTGTTGGACCAGAGTCACTTGAGAGTGTGTGAATTTCATGTAGTACCATGAGAGTAGAAAATTGGCTCCCTTATCAATTTTCTACATTATGTTAATGCTTACAGAAATGTAATAGGATGGTCTCCTTCAAAAGATAAGTCATTCTAGATCACTGAGGAAGCATGCAAATTTTGTTCTTAAGTCTCATCGAGTTGGTTTTGATTTGCGGTGATTCCATGAATGAAAGACCTCTGAGAGTTCTTGTCATCAGCAGTTCTGCTCATTTCTTGCAAGCTCAGGGTTATGGCTTCCTTTATTGAGGCAGCCCTTCTGTAATACACGCTTCCTCATTTCCTCCTGTCTTTAACTGTACTAAGCATTAACGTCTGTACAAATGAGTCATGTCATCCAATGATGTGTCAAAAGTACAATCGTTTAGTCATTTCAGCTTTTAGTGAGAGTTCAGGCTTAATTTACTCTTGGGCCTTTTTATTTTTGGTGATCCATGGTGTCTGTAGAACTCTTCTTTAACCGCACATAGAGATGCATAAAGCATACAGATAAAAGCTTAGGAGTTTATCATATAAGGCAAGCAAATTACAGCAGGACAACGGCGTCTTTTCCATGGACATCACACAATGTCTCTTCTTTCCTGTCACTCTGCCAGTGAGGAACAGCCTAAAGAGTGTACGTTTTACAAACACAAGTAACCCACTAATTATATCCTTTTGTAAACAAATGCCTTCCAAAAGTCTCCCCCCACCACCAAGAGAGCGGCAGGAAAAGAGTGACATCATGTGATAAATCCAAGGCAAAGATGTTGTCATGTTGTGATTGCTATTCACCTTCCTCTTTTGATAAACTCAGAGACTGTTTGGAGAAATTTTCAGACAAATTCAGAGATAGTTGCAAGAGAAACCTCTTCAAGTTTAGCCATTACTATGGAAAGACAGATTACAATGGAGAAAGACACTTCTCACTGTCCAAGTATTTTGTTTTCACTCAGAAAGAGTGATTGTTGTGGCCACCTTGGGGAACTGACATGTTTATTCAACCCCTAGCATGCAGGAACGCAGGAAAAATTGAGAATTTGGTTTATCATAATCCACAAATTAGCACTCCCTGATCCATTGTTCCTTTTCAAATACATACCACCACTCCCCACACATATCCCGTCACATACACACTAGTGGCCAGATGCAAGCCCTCATTGCCTTTTACCTTCCCCCTTTGCTGCGTTTCTCCTTCTCCTCCTACTCTGCCCTTGAGACTAGTTTAATTCCCATCCGTGCCTCTACTGTGAAAAGGGAGTTTAAAGTTAGTTTCTCACGCTCATTAAATTCTCATCTATTTGGCTCTTTGGGCCTGAATTTGAGATAGAATTGAAGAGAGCTGTTGAGATATGTGTGTGCGTGTGTGTAAATTATTGTTCCGTGAATGATCAGAGAGCCATGAACAGGTGCAGTAACAACTTCGAGGGGGGATATTCACTAATCTCCGTACCTACAATTTACCAAAGGGTGGGAGCCCTATGGAGGATAATGGTGTTAGTGAAAAAGTTGAGGTCCTCCCATCCTTTAGGGAACCTTGTGAAGATGGATCCATAGCAGGGATTAGGATATATCGGATCTGTCCAAATCATACCAAGAGGGCCAGGAATTAGTAGCAAAGCTATATCACAAGGAGTTGTATAGTTTTTAAAATAGACCAAAATAATATGAAGTGGGGAGCGAAATCATTTAAGCAACCTTCAGAATCATACAATCCCACATCTCTACCATGCAAGTCCTATTGCCTCACACTGATCTCCCCTCAAATCCTCAGTCAGCTTGGTAACATTCAAAATTACTCAAGTTACATAGCTTGGAAACATTACTTTTTGAAGCTACAACTCCCAGAATCTCTTGATCATTCTGGCTGGGGACTCTGGGAGCCCTGTCACGTTGCATTGGGGCTTTTGGGAATATTCAAAACTGTGCCATCCTTTGCAAATGTATCCTATGACACCTCAAGGGGACATCCACTTTAATGAGAGGCTAGTTTGGCACGTTGTATAATTCAGAAAACAAGATAGGGATGAAATCTTTATGAAAAGGAAACCAAATTCAGTTACTATGTAGAATTATGGGAGATTTTTGGGTGAGCAAAAACTCTCAAAGGCAAAATATGTGAACTAGGTTCCCAGAATCCATGAATTTGCAAAGTAGAAGACCAAAAATCCTATAGAATCTTAGGATTTGTATTTGGTGGAGGATTTGGAATTCTCTGCAAGAGAGAGATATTTCATTTGCCTGAACTACAATTCTCAAGGTAATCTGACTACTGTCTACCCTGAAGAATTAAACTGATTTAGTTCTTGGTCATTCTCTTTTTTAGGGTTCCTTGGTGCCTTCTAAATGGCTCACCATTCCAAGGATTTCATAGCTATGGTTTCCATAGTTACTGAAATGGAAACAAACATCTGCAATACAGTAGTTCAGTGTAGATACAAAGAAAGAAATTTTTCTCAGCTCTGTTTGAATATTGGGTAAAATTAGATGCTCCACAACAGAAGTATTGTTTTGACAAGAAAACCTGTGCATTTCGTGCTGCAAAACAACAAACTGTCATCTGAAAAGTGAATATTTACCAGTCGCCTTCAGTACTCCGGCATCATGAATATATTTGCAGAAAAGGAATAGGAAATAAGAGGAAAAACTGAGGGGAAACGGTGAGCAAATTAGACAGAAATGTCTGTGTGGAGTGGAAATGATAGAGGTTGCCGTTCTTTCTTTTCTTTAGCTGCTGGCATTTCTAACCCACTTATTATCCCTTCTCTTTTCCAGGTGATGTATAGTTAGCTTTCAACTCCTGGCTCCTTCCCCCCAGAAATGCTTCACTTCCCATGGGGTTTTGCAGTTTGCCTTCTCTTCCTTTTGGGCTTGGCTTCTGACCCTTGGGATCCATGCTACGATGCCAACCGCAATCCACGCTACTGCCTCCCTGAGCTATCTGAATTGGCATCAGGACGTCTGGTGGAAGCATCCAGTACATGCAGTAGCAATAATCCCCCTGGACGATTCTGCACCTTCCGAGATTCGACCGACCCAACCTCAAAATTCTGCCAGCGCTGCAAAGAGGACGCTCACATGCCTGAGTATCTCACTGATGCAGATGGTGGTGCCACTTGTTGGTGGTCCCAGCCTGCAACCAACGCTACACTGACTTTAGCCTTGGGGCGTAGAGTGGAAGTTCTCTATGTGGCTCTCCGATTCTGCTCCCCGCGGCCAGAATCTCTGGCTATTTACAAATCTATGGATTATGGACGCACTTGGGTGCCCTTTCAATACTTTTCTGCCTTGTGCCGGCGGCGCTACCATTTGCCACCAACCCACGTAATTCTGAAGTCTATGGAACATGAAGCAGCTTGCATTGAGGCCCAAACCACCCCCAAACCTCTCACCGGAGGACTGGTAGCTTTCATGCCCCTGGCAGGCCGGCCTTCAGCCAGGATGTTTGAGTATAGTCCTGTGCTTCAGGACTGGGTGACTGCGACTGACCTTCGAGTGTCCTTTGACCGCATGCACCCGACACGGATATTGGGGTTGCGAAGGCGGGAGGCATCCTATGGGGTGGCTGAGCTGCAGGTTGGAGGCAGATGCAAATGCAATGGACATGCATCCCGGTGCTCAACTGGGAAAGAAGGAGGAGTGCCTCAGTGTGATTGTCAGCACAACACAGCTGGGCCAGAATGTGACACCTGCAAAGCCTTTTTCTGGGATAGGCCTTGGCAACGGGCAACGCCCAAAGACGCGCATGAGTGTGTGGGTGAGACTAAAGGAGTAACTGAGCCCATTATGATAGAGGATTTTCTGTGTGTTCTCAACAGGGCTGGGAGTAGCTATTCTGTATCTTATAAAACTAGAGATATTTCTATTCTGTTGAGATCAAGGATGCATCAACAGTTATAATTATTATAATTATAATTATTGCACAGCTGTCTTTGTTTCATCCCCAGGATTCCTGCATAACTGAAATTCTCTACTAAATAATTCAAATTCTCTGGCATTACTTAATATCTCTAATATTAAGGGAACCCCTGATGTATCTAAAACTGTCGAATCAAATCTGGATGGTAACAAATGTCTAGGAGAGCCAGGGTGGTGAAGTGGTTTTGAGACTTGGACTCTATTTCTGGAGATCTGTGTTCAATTCCCCACTCAATTATTATTTATTTATTTCAAACATTTGTAGCCCGTCCTTCTCAATCCCTGAGGGGGGACTCAGGGCGACTTACAATGGCAACAAATTGATGCCAACACATACAAAACCACAATACAACATGACATAACAGAGTAGATAAAAACATTAGGTTGAAATCAATTTGAAACTTTATTATCAACCACATTGCCATATCTGAGTCCGATTCAGTGACCAACCACTCAGTCTAAAGCCTGTCCAAAGTCCGTTCTAAAACATTGTGATTGCTGTCAAGCTTGTTACCCAAATGCCTGGTTGCAAAACCATGTTTTGAGCTTCTTCCTAAAGGAAAGGAGGGATGGAGCTGACTTAATTTCACCGGGGAGCGTGTTCCACAGGCAGGCCACCACCAAGAAGGCCCTGTCTTTCGTCACCGCCAAATGCGTTTGCGAAGAAGGCGGGATCGAGAGCAGGGCCTCCCTGGATGATCTTAAACTCCAAGGCGGGACGTGGAGGGTGATACGTTTGGACAAGTAAGCTGGCCCAGAACCATATAGAGTTTTATAGGCCAAGACCAGCACTTTGAATTGTGCTCAGAAGTGAATTGCGCTCAGAAGTGGAATTGTACTCCTATATGTCGCTCCAAGGAATAATCTGGCTGCTGCCTGTTCGACTAGTTGGGTGAGTAGCATACTCTCAGTCCCAGAAAAAAAAACCCTGTGAAGAAGTTGGCATAGATAGAAAACATTCTGAAGACACTTAACACTAACAGCAACATTGTAGATACTGCCATTTAGCTGATAGAGGAAGTCTAAACTGCACTCCCAAAATTGAAACAGGCAAAACCTTCCAATCAGCACCAAATATCTGATATCATTGTAACATCATCCTTGTAACATCCTCAGCCTGCTTTCTGGGACATCGCAATAGGTCATCCCTAAGTCTTAGGTTTTGGCATAGTCTCAAAATCAAGGCCCAGCACAATCTTTATTGGGTAATCCTGTACAAGGGGGCCTGCTTGAATTTCTGTTCCCAGCACTACAATCATACATTCATAGAGTGAGAAGAGATCACAAGGGCCATCCAGCCCAGCTCCCTGCCATGCAGCAATGCACAAACAAAACATTCTCGATAGATGGTCATCCAGTCTCTTTTTAAAAACCTCCAGAAAATTCCACCACTCTCCAGTACTGAAAAGCTCTTACCACCAGAAATTACTTTCTAATATTCAGAAGGAATCTCCTCAGTTTGAATCCACTGCTCCATGTTCAAGTCTTTGGAGCAGCAGAAAACAAGTTTGGTCCATCTTCAATATGACATCCTTTCAGATATGTAAACATGGCTATCATGTCCACTCTTAACCTTCTCCAATAAGGGTTTCACTATATCCCTGGTGAGGAGACGGGCCATATTAGGAAGGAACCAGCATGACTGCAAACTCTTTTCCTGTGTCCTTAGCTTGTGATTGCAACCTCCACTCCCACCGCTGCCGGTTCAGCATGGAACTCTTTGAACTCTCAGGACGTCGGAGTGGAGGGATCTGTTTGAATTGTCGCCACCACACGGCTGGGCGCCACTGCCAGTATTGCCAACCAGGCTTTAAGCGGGACCTCAGCCGCCCCATGACAAGCAACAAAGCCTGCAAAGGTGAGCAAAGGAACGAAATTGTGTTGCTGTGGGTAATTTTACTGAGCCTATGAATAATGAAGAGAAAAGAATCTCAGGACTGTGTAGTAGGATATAAGGGAAATGTTGGGTCAAAGATTTAGCTTTAAACATGTCCACCTAAAGCTCAGTCAAAAGATGAGGACAGGATCAAGGAAATATTATTTTTGCACCAGTAATCTAGTTACTTCAGAAACTTGAACCTCAGCCTTCTAACAAAGGTTCAGTAACCCTTATCTGGAATTCTGAAATATCCCAAGATCCAAAATTATCCACATGGATGGCTGAAATGGCAACAGCTTTTCTTTCTGATGGTTTCTTTCATTTGTGCACAAAACTTTCATTTGTGCACAAAATTATTTAAAATATTATTTATAAAGTTACCTTCAAGCTATGTGTATATAATGTCTGTACACATAAATGGATTAGTATTTAGACTTCGTTCTCATCTCCATGATATCTCATTATATACATATATGCAAATACAGATATTTCAAAATTTGAAACAATCTAAAATCCCAGACATTTCTGGTCCTAAGCATTTCAGACAAGGGATACACAATCTTTAATGCTTATTAATACCTCTCCATCCCACCTGCCAGGTATCATGGGTGTGACTATTAACTTTTCCTTATTTCCTGGAAGTGGAAGTTCTTAAACCAGTTTATAATTTGAAAGTTTGGTTCCACTATGGAACATTGAGAAACACAGTTTTGTGAAAATATGAAGAATTTTCAGAGATTCCTAGCTAATGGGACATAGCATTAGGGTGGTTGGCAATACTGAGGAATGATATAAACTTTGGTAAGTCCACATTCTGATATGGACAATGAGTGTGTTGGTCGAAGGAGTAACTTTTCTGTAAAGTTCGCACCATTTTTCAGTCCAATAACTCTCATTTTATTGTTTCCTTAGCCTGCCAGTGTCATCCTATTGGAGCAATTGGTGCTATTTGCAACCAGACCACAGGGCAATGCCAATGCAAAAATGGGGTGACCGGGTTGACCTGCAACCGATGTGCTCAGGGTTTTCAACAAAGCCGCAGTGCCCATGCTCCCTGTATCCGTAAGCTTTTGCTTTCTTCATCCCTGCTTGAGATCAACTATGCACAATATCTGGGCACTACTTAATTGCAGTATGTAAAGTCTAGAAATAGACAAATCTAGTCTAGTTCATTTTCAGGTCAATTGGATTTTCACAGTTAAAACTATGTAGTTATACATTTCCACAGCTAGTATAAAATTGACAGAAATGGTCATGTTTGTTTTCATATGCATTTCATATGGTTTCTTCTTCAGATTTCCAAATGTGTTGCTTCTATCACATTTTAAGAGAATGTACATTTCCCCCCTATAAGTGATAGTGATTTTATGTACATTTCCCTAAATGTAGGTATTTTATATGCACATTTGTGTAATATACCAATATACTGTGCTTTAACTGATAAAACATTAAGAAAAAGTTGAGATTTTGGGCTGCAATTAGGGAATTCAGACTTCTAATTCAATATTTGATGTCTCAGTGTGGCTCCTTGTAAAACAAGGGTTTTGTCCCTAGGATTAGAGGTAAGACACACTAACATGCAACTACAACAAAAGCTGTTTCAGTCACAGCCCTAGAATGAGAATGCACTTTGAAAAGTTGACTTCCCAGTGGTCTCCAAAACAAGAAATGATGTCATAGAGGTAGAGAACTTTATGTTTTCTGGGCACCCCACTGATCCTTCCATGAGGGATTTATATTAGGAAAAAATAACTTGATCTGACATAGCAAAGTGCCCCTCCTGTAGTGCAACTGGCATGAATCATAGAATACTTGAGTTGGAAGAGACCTCATGGGCCATCCAGTCCAACCCCTTGTCAAGAAGCAGGAAAATCACATTCAAAGTGCCCCCGACAGATGGCCATCCAGCCTCTGTTTAAAAGCCTCCAAAAAAGGAGCCTCCACCACACTCCGGGGCAGAGAGTTCCACTGCTGAACAGCTCTCACAGTGAGGAAGCTCTTCCTAATGTTCAGGTGGAATCTCCTTTCCTTTAGTTTGAAGCCATTGTTGTGCATCCTAGTTTCCAGAAAACAAGCCTGTTCCCTCCACCCTATGACGTTCCCTCACATATTTATACATGGCCAACATGTCTCCTCTCAGCCTTCTCTTCTTCAGGCTAAACATGCCCAGCTCTTTAAGCCGCTCCTCATTGTTCTCCAGGTCCTTGATCATTTGTGTCCCTCTTCTGGACACATTCCAGCTTGTCAACATCTCCCTTCAATTGCAGTGCCCAGAATTAGACACAGTATTACAGGTGTGGTCTGATCAAGGCAGAATAGAGGGGCAGCATGGCTTCCCTGCATCTAGACACTAGACTCCTATTTAAAACACTTTAAAAACCTAAACCTGGGCATGGTAATTAATTAAAGAAATTTCTAAAGAATGTTGTATATCCTCAGACCAACTACTAATTATGTTTAGTTTCCCTGAGCACTGCCAACAACAAAGATTCACTTGAAATCATGTGGACAGAACTTGAAGAGTTTGTCTTTTGGCTAAGAATATAGCCTCCACCCAAGGCAGCTGAGGTGTTTTAGAAGTTGACTTTCTGATATGGGTGATGATACCCAATGAAATCAAAGAAAGCAGAATATAGGTAGGAAAGATTGCCGACAGTTTACAGGGTAGCTCTTCATTTTCCTTGACAGCACCTGCCTTGCATTTTTCTGCTTCGTGCAAAAGTACATAGAATGATTGATGAAAAGACAAGTACACACAAATCAACCTAATACAAACCCATTTATTCGGGGTTGGGAATTTTATCTATACTTGGTGAAAATTATTGTCTATATATATAGATTTTATTTTTTTTTTAAAAAAACCAAATCGCTTATTCTGCATTTTTTCCGCCACTTAGGGATCCAGGAGGTGATGACAACCACAGCTGCCCCTCCACAGGAATTGAACACAGGTGAGAAAGGCAAAGTGTCTGCGTTGGAGGGCGTTCAAATATTATTTTGCTTTCTGAAGAAAAGTAAAAAAAAGTTTGGTTTTTCCAAAGGGATACCTAAGACCCTTTCAACACTGCCATATAAAATCTAGTTTATCTTTTTTGAACTGGATTAAATGGCAGTGTGGAGCTCCCAGTGGCACAGTGGGTTAAAGCACTGATCTGCTGAACTTGCTGACTGAAAGATCGCAGGTTTGAATCCGGGGAGCGGCGTGAGCTCCCGCTCTTAGCTCCAGCTTCTGCCACCCTAGCAGTTCAAAAACATGCAAATGTGAGTAGATCAATAGGTACTGCTCTGGTGGGAAAGTAACGGTGCTCCATACAGTTATGCCAGCCACATGACCTTGGAGGTGTCTACGGATAACACCGGCTCTTCGGCTTAGAAATGGAGATGAGCACCAACCCCCCAGAGTCGGACACGACTAGACTTAGTGTCAGGAGGAAACCTTTACCTTTACCTTATATGACAATGTAGACTCATTTTTCAATTGTGGCTTCATTTTGGCAATTTTAACAGGTGTCATGTAATACTGATAGAACATTTTGTAAAAGTTTTCCAAGGGTGAGTTATTTCTGAATATGTTTATTGTTTAGAGTGTTGTATGATTTCCAGGCTGAATTGCTGTGTTCTAGCAGCATTTTCTCCTGACATTTTGTCTGGATCTATGTCTAGCATCTTCAAAGGATCTTCTGGAGAAGATAGTCATAGGCACAGGTGAAATGTCAGGAGAAAATGCTGCTAGAACATGACCGTACAGCCTGAGAACCACAGAATATTCCAGTGATTCCGGCCATGAAAGCCTTTAGCAATACATTTTTGTTTTTACTTTTCAAGGGCATTCCCACTTCTCTAGATTAATTGTACACCCAATATTTTTGACCCATTTTAGCATACATTCTTTGATAAACTCACCTTTCATGTGTAGTTTTAGAAGCAGGGTATAGATTTTGGATAGTTGTTTATTTCTTACTTGTAATATTTTGTTAAAATTCGTCTTTTCTTCCTCAAATCCTGTGTATATGCCTTTTTGATATTGATGGTGTATTTGTGTAAATTCAAACTAGTTCTGATATAGCCTTTTGGTTTATTTCCGTCCTTGTTTTTAGTTGTAAATTGCCTCGTGTCTTCTTGAGGAAATCCACATAGGTTAACCATCTTGTTACCCTTGATATTTCCACTTTGCTTAAAGGCTTCCTGAAACAAAGTCCATTGCAGTATTTTTGTATAAAATTTTCTTTTGTGCTTGTTCAAAGTTCTTGTTGGAATTTTCCTAATTGGGTATTTATTAAAGTTTGGGTCTTCTGCCACTTTTCCATGCAAACCAGATTTTAAATCTGCTCCTTCAAGAACTATGAGGTTTTGATTATCAAGATGGATCCATCCTTTTAACCAATTCACAGCTGCTTCTCTGTATAGTTTTAAGTTTGGGAGGGCATGCCCTCCTCTTTGTTTACTATCTTGTAAATGGCTCATATTCTTTGATTTCTTCATATCTTCTGGCAACAATACTAAGTTGAGGGGAAGAAGTTACTGATAGAAGGTGAAAGTTGAGAGCGGCTGTGGGGGCAACATACACTTTTATTTGTTTGTAATAATCAACGATGAGCTCTGGTTTGCTCTGACCCACACACACACAAATCAGAAGTGCAAATCAGGATCTCTCCAGACCAGACACAGTATTAGTATGGCAATGGTAGCTGTGGGGAAAAAGTAAGACTGTGAGAAAGAAATTGCTGCTGATATTTTCTTTGAACACCTGTACTCTCACAAATTATGAAGATGTAATTTGGCACATTAATCATGGTCAAGAAATCTAATTGCAGAAGGCATACATGTAAGGAAGTAGGTAATGTCAGATACCTCATTGTGCAATACTTGGAGAACCTGATGTTGGCTGGCCACACCGGGTCCAGTTTTCATCTGTAAAATGTTACAGTGATCCACATGTGATAATGTTGTCGTGGGGATACTAGCGAGTAGTTGAGTAGCTATGGGGGACAAAATAAATCCATCTTCAATCATTGTTTTTCCCCTCTAGTGACATTTTCCTTTATTCCCAAAATTTCTAGCATTCCAGAGAGACACTGAAAGCCATTCATACTTAGAAGTCTTATATTTGCTGCATTCACATTCCTTTGGTATCTTTGCATGCGGCTTTACTTTGGATGCCTAAACTGTTTTTCTAAATGCTCAACTGAGGTTTTTGTGACTACAATGCTCCAAGGCTGATGGGAAATTTCACAAGAGGGGGCAGATTTGTTATTAGATTGAACAATCTTTTCATTTTCTCTCTTCCCCTTTTTTATCTTGGTAACCCTGCCCTGGTGTCAGTACTACAACTACAGGATGCCTTAATTACTACCTCATCAGACAGGCCGATTTGCGATGAAGGATTTCCTTCCTAGGTTCTTGTGGGTTTTTTTGGGCTATATGGCCATGTTCTAGAGGCATTTTCTCCTGACGTTTCGCCTGCATCTATGGCAAGTATCCTCAGAGGTAGTGAGGTCTTGCCATAGATGCAGGCGAAACGTCAGGAGAAATGCCTCTAGAACATGGCCATATAGCCCAAAAAAAACCCACAAGAACCTAGTGATTCCAGCCATGAAAGCCTTTGACAATACATTGCTTCCTCTCCTTTTTCAGCACGGAGCCCTTCGCATGACATACAGGCACTTCTGGTTGGGCTCTGTGCTGAAAAAGGAGCAGAAGCAGCGCACGCCAACACAACATGGAAGCATTCCCATGTTGCCTTCCTAACAATGGGGGGAAGCCAGGTGGCGACGTTTCCCCCCATGGGGTGAAGGGCAAGGTAAGGAGGGTCATATTTTTTGCGTCGGGCAACTTGAGAAACTGTAAGTTGCTTCTGGTGTGAGAGAATTGGCCATCTGCAAGGACGTTGCCCAGGGGATGCCTTTGATGTTTTACCATCCTTGTGGGAGGCTTCTCTCATGTCCCCGCATGGGAGCTGGAGCTGACAGAGGGAGTTTATCCGTGCTCTCCCCAGATTCGAACCTCTGACCTGTCGGTCTTCAGGAGGGCGATGCAGGGCACAGAGTGGTGGCTTCTCCATGTCCCCCACTGGGAGCCCAGGGATTTGTCCCAAAGCTGGGCAAATGCATGGGTCTTTTTGATGAGGTGTGTCACCAGAGACAGCAAGACCCCAGATATCTTGATGGGGAGGGATCTGGAAGAGACAGTATCTCTAGGCACCTCACTTACCATCCCTGGCTCTGAGAAATGACAACTTCGAAGCCAAGCATTTGTGAATGGCTGGCTAGTTGGCCGCTTCTGCAGAGGACAGCACTGGCCATTTTGTATCAAGAGTCCATCTGTCCACTGACTCACTCCAGAAATGTGGCAGAAAGAGAATGAAGCAACAATGATGGGTGAAGAGGGGGAATAATGCAGGAGTAAATGTCAGTAATGGATGTTTTCCTGCCTCAGGCAGTGGGGGAGCTTGGGCTGCCAGTATTTTTATACAGACACACACACACAGAAAGGAAGATTGAAGGATATAATCCACATGCCCTCTCTACAGCCTGAGGCAACATTGTCCGGTCTACCATTTCATGCTGTAGGCCTTTTTATACTCCAAGTAATATTGCTCAAATGAAAGAGAATTCACTTATAGTATTTGACCATTGTCTGCACTCTCCACCCTCTTCTTTTAAAATAGGCCGTGGCTCAGTAGGAAGCCTCATACTTTTCATGAAAAAAGGCCCCAGGTACATTGCCTGGCAACCCAAGGCCTTCCCTTTACTGAAACTTCAGAGAGCAGCTGTCAGTCACTGTAGGTCATAGGGTGTTTATGAACCAGTGATCTGGCATATGTAGCTATATGACAATATTCAGATGCATTTACCAGGGACAATGTATCTTACCCAGAATGATCTGGAAGCTTAATTTGGACGATTGAGAATAAGGGTCTACATGCATTGATGTTTGGTGGGGTGGGGGGGTGAGGGCATTTTAAGCTCTTTCTGTTCTCAGTGGGCTGAAATGATCTCAATTGAAGGCGGATTGACATTTTACTTCTAGAAAGTTTTCTTTTGCTGTGGATGGAAGCAGGGTTGCTGAGACACTCAAGACCAGAGAAGTACTGGTAAATAAGATAGAAGTTAATGGGATGATTTTGCCCCTTGTTGTTGTTTATTCGTTCAGCCGCTTCCGACTCTTCATAACCTCATGGACCAGCCTATGCCAGAGCTCCCTGTCGGCCATCACCACCCCCCAGCTCCTTCAGAGTCAATCCAGTCACTTCAAGGGTACCATCCATCCATCTTGCCCTTTGTTGACCCTTCTTCCTTTTTCCTTCCAATTTCCTCAGCATCATTGTCTTCTCTAAGCTTTCCTGTCTTCTCCTGATGTGGCCAAAGTACTTCAACTTTGTCTCCAATGAGCAGTCTGTTAGATTTTGCTCTAACTTTATGTACTCCACAGATACTGAATGCCAGAATCATTGTAAACCACCCCGAGGACGGGTACAGATGAACTTGAGGAACTACTGCAAGAAAGATTATGGTAATGTAGACTTCCATCCTAAATGTCTTTGCTGTCTCAGCTCTATGTCTCTGTAATCCAGCATGAGCCCTTTGTCCATGGATTTAGTGTCCACATTTCCACTGAGCCAAAAATATTCCCGTCCCAGAAGTGTTTGTGGCCTTTGTAGGTCCTCCAGTGCAATTCTATGGTATACTTCCAGCCTAGATAGTTAAAATATTGGATTTGCTATTATGCATGATTTCACACATCCACATTGTGTCTGTCATACTATATGCTACCAAAAGAGGAGAACGGGAGCGAAACCAGGAAGTGATGTTGTTATTCCCACCCACCCCCTTCAGTCAGGAAATTCCATTGCTAGGAATATTTCCAGTACCAGGAAATGTCATAGCTTTGTGGTAGAGAACAATGGAAAATTCTCAGTTTACATGTATATATGAAGTGAGATATGTAGGCTTATTCATATAGGAAGCAACATTATTGTTCTCTCCAGCTCCGTACATCATTATGGAGCCACACGCTCTCTAGAAACATTGTTTGTGCAAAGAATGCCTTGTCCAGTGAAAGCAATGGAAATGATTTGTCTGTTTATGGGGAGGAAAGAACTTGCAACGGGTTTGCAAGAGAGTACTATCATACATTTCCTGAGTATTTCTTTCTCTCTTTTCTCTGATCCTTCACATGCAACCCTAGTTCTTCGTGCACAGCTCTTGGCCATGGAGAAATCGGGCACATGGTGGCAGTTCACTGCCTCAGTCCACACTATCTATCGGCAACGTCATGTGCCCATTCGACGGGGTGAGCAGCCACTATGGGTACCTGAACAGGATTTGGCATGTCGCTGCCTTCACCTCCAAGTTGGTAAAGCTTACTTGATTATCGGCAATGATGAAGAGTCACCTGACCCAGCCCGACTTATCTTGGACAAAAATAGCCTAGCCCTGTCCTGGAGAGATGCTTGGGCCCATAAACTGCGCAGCTTTCAGCAGCAGAGCAGACGTGGGAAATGTCCGGGCATCTGAATTACAGTGGCGGAAGGAAATGGAGGAAGGAAAGGGACATACATACATTTGTAACTGTAGGTTTGAAATAGGTTGGAGAAAAGCATGGAACAAAGACAGTATTTTTATTTTGACAGTGACTTCCAGTTTCCCAGCCAGCTTGGCTACTGGACATGATGGTTGATGGGAGCTGTGTTCTTAAAAGTAACTTTTCCAAAGTCTGGGTAGAGGTATCCCAAGCACTACATGCTCAAGCTGCTGTTAAAAAGCACCCTCATATGTAAAAACAGTTGTCCCAAAAAGGGAATTGATGCCAATCTAGTTTTTTTAATGTTAGTCCTGAGTTCATACAATTCTTCTTATCTCCTTCCTCCTCCCAATGGGCCTATGTGTACCGCTAGTCCTTTTTAAAGGCTTAGAGGAGCTCCGGCTGAGCTAGAACTTGCCTTAGGCGATGCCAGTGGGAAATATTTGGGCAGGAGGAAGGCTGTCAAATCTAGCAGTGGATGATAGAACAAGGGCCGAGTTAAATAGGTTTGAACAAAACACAAGGCCATCATAGAGCATGCAAGGCAGAAACACTGGAGAATCAGGCTATCAATACATGACAGCTGTATATTATCTCCAGCATTAAATGCCCTATAGCTCTGAATACCAATTCTGGGGGAGGACAAGACTAAAGGTGCTGTTACCTTCACATTTTGCATACGAGCTTCCCCATAGTCAACCATTGTGCGACTAAATGTTGGACTAAATAGACCTTAGTCTAATCCCATGCTGCTCTTCTTGGCTTCTCCCTACATTTTAAGTTGAGGTTATTGTAACTAGATTTCCCCTTAGCTGATCCCTACCACCAGAAGAGAAGACGAGGGAAATGGGGCAGTGTGAAACTGTTTCTGTTCAAACCTCAAGGAGCTGGCTAGTCTCCAAGTGACCTGAACTTAGGATATACTTGTCAAAATATGCAGTGGGAAATCAAATATATATTGCAAAACAATTGCCTCATTCTGGATATATGCCATTATATATATATCTATGTATTTCTGGAAACAGAGATGGAAGGTTAGGGCTTGGTCTGCCACTGAACAATTTATATACATTTATTGTGGGGAAGGCATTGCACCAATACTGGTCACTCCTGTGGTCTCCTTGAGGGAACCAGTATTGATGCCATGATTTGAGTCTACATCTTGGGAAGGTAGTCTCAGGTACACACTTTAGCTCAGTTGTTCTCATCCTGTGGGTCCCCAGATGTTTTGGCCTTCAACTCCCAGAAATCCTAACAGCTGGCAAACTGGCTGGGATTTCTGGGAGTTGTAGGCCAAAACACCTGGGGACACACAGGTTGAGAACCACTGTTTTAGCTGGAAACCATTTTTATCTGAATTGAGACTGGTTAAGCTACAGACAGTAATAGCCAATGTGGACTAGTAGTATGAACACTGGAGTGGGGTATAATATTGGAGACTAGGGCTCATATCTCCGCTCAACCATAGAAACTAGGTGGCCTTGGATAAGTCATACTCTCTCAGCCTTAAAAGAAGACGAAGGAAAACCCACTATGAAAAAGGGTCTCCATAAGTCAGGGACAACTTGAAGGCACACATCAATATAAATTATAGGGCTAATGAGAGAGAAAAGGGAAGATTGGCCTGAAATTATCTCCAGAATGTTCAATTTCACTTCACCTGGAGTCAGATTTCACAAGGAAGTACATCCCACTGAGGTGCTTGGGAGTTGTGCATGAATTCACATTGACATGTTTGCACAATTAGGGCAAGTCTAAATGATTAAAAGGCAAACTTAGTTCTTCTCCATCATTTCACATACACAGAATCCTATGAGAGGGAAAAATTGCTTTCCAGGGCTACTTACAGATACAAGGTTTCTTTCAGATGGAAGTGTTCATTCCAGAGAGAGTTCAAAATATTATTTTTTAAACTAATGTTTTGAAGTAGTCATCAAAAAAGCAAGTTTTCCAAATCTAATTGTTTCCAGATTTAATTATACTTAAGAATTAAATTTAGAACCAGCTTGAAATTTTTCATTATATTGAGGGTGCATTCCTAAAGATCTTTGAGGAAAATTGTGAAAGTTAAATTAGTTTTAGAACAATTTCTCTCTTTACTGTAGTACCAAAACAATCTACGGATACCTCATCTGGAACACTGAATTACTCCAAAATTGTCTATATGAATGGTTGTAACAGTGACACCTTTGCTTTCTGATGGTTCAATGTACACAAAGCTTGTTTCATGCAAATCATTATTAAAATATTATATATAAAATTATCTTCAGGCTATCTGTATAAGGTATCTATGAAACATGAATGAATTTTGTGTTTAGCTTTAGGTTGCATCTCCAAGTTATATCATTATGTTTATACAAGTATTCAAAAATCCAAAAAACAAAAACCTAAACCTAAGATAGGGAACATTCCTGATCCCAAGCATTTCAGATAAAGGATGCTCAACCTATAATTCCATTGTGTTGCCCTTTGTTACATCTAAAACAGCAGCACCATCTGGTGGATAGTCAGCAGAGCTATTTCCATTTTATTTATTTGTTTGGGAGGAGAAGTTTTACTGCCTCTCATGTATTCTGTGGTGAAAGCCCTACATGAAGAAAACGAGGATATAACAGAAACAGCTAAACCAATCTTTTTCCTCCGACAGGCATAGTTGAAATCTTGAGTTGTCTGTGCCCAGGGGGCATATAAACACAGAATATCAGTTGCATCTCCACCGCAACCTGGCGTGAAGTCTTCCATACTCATTCCGCTGATTGTACTTCATGGCTTGTGAATGTAGTAGAGCTTCTACTGGTAGTCTTTAATGTATCTACATTGATATCTGAGATTGTGCTGAATTCTTGGAAAAAGAAGCTGGGACTATTGGGTCTGGCCGCTTCTACACTGCCATATAATACAGATTATCTGTTTTGAACTGGATAATATGAGTCTACAGTGACATATAACCCAGTTCAAAGCCAATAATCTGGATTTTTTATGGCAGTGTAGAAAGGACCTCTCAAACTAGTGTCTGATGAAAAGAGAAACTGCAGCGCAAACACCTCCCTTCCAAGATCTTAAGATTCTCAGTAGATTTCTCTTTGGAGTTCATCATCCCAGGGAAATCTGAGCTCCACATCTTTCATCTTTTCCTGGTACAAGCGCTGGAATGAATCAGTCTGTTCTGGGGTGAAATGATTTCTCCAGTCCCCAGAAATCCCTGCAGAGTGGGGAAAAGAAAGCGTGAGAGGAAAGAAGAGACACCGGGATTTATGTACTTTTGAAAATGAGAATGAACAAACTGCAACCATTAAGGAGTAATTATTTGTCTCTGATCCCCACTAAAAACAGCAGCAGATCCAGAAAAAAAGAATTACAAAATGTTTGTGTTGATTTCTTTTGCTAATGGTCATAGCCCAAAAAGACTGGCGTGGGAGTCGCATGTCTTTTGCACTTTGCCCAAACCTGTTTTTCAGTAATGGCAAGGAATGTATTTTATCTCAAGGGGACTTCTATATTTCTGATGATGGTGATTATAATAATCAGAATAATTTAACACATAGTAGAATCCGACAAAGAACTGATGCTATACTTGATCTGCTGCCATTAGGATATCTAGCTCCCAAATAATGAGAAAGGATCAATTAGATGTATCTATAAATGTCATCCCTTGAAGGAGCTGGGGGTGGTGACGGCCGACAAGGAGCTCTGGCGTGGGCTGGTCCATGAGGTCACGAAGAGTCGGAGACGACTGAACGAATGAACACAACAACATAAATATCATCATCATCAACATTTAGTTCAGAGCTCTCAGTAGCACAATGGGTGCTGGCAGGTTCAAATTCGGGGAGAGCGGGTTGAGCTTCCTCTATCAGCTCCAGCCCCACGAGGGGACGTGAGAGAAGCCTCCCACAAGGATGGTAAAACATTAAACACCCAGGTGTCCCCTGGGCAACGTTCTTGCAGACAGCCAGTTCTCTCACACCAGAAGCAACTTGCAGTTTCTCAAGTTGCTCCTGACACAGAAAAACAAATCATTTAGTTGCAGGGAACAACAACAAAATAGACATATAATGCCAGTTTAAAAACATATAGTTCTCATACATACAGTATTAAAAATTACATATTTCTACATTCTGACAACCAATTGAATAATTTCAATATTGGAATAGTTTACAGAGATGAGAAGAGCAAAAGTAAAATGTTGGGACATATGTTTCACCATATAGCCTCAAGACCAGGCATGGGCAAACTTTGGCCCTCCAGGTGTTTTGGACTCCAAACGGTAGGCTATTAGGAATTGTGGGAGTTGGGGTCCAAAACACCTGGAGGGCCAAAGTTTGCCCATGCCTGGTCTTGAGGCTATATGGTGAAACATATGTCCCAACATTTTACTTTTGCTCTTCTCATCTCTGTAAACTATTCCAATATTGAAATTATTCAATTGGTTGTCAGAATGTAGAAATATGTAATTTTTAATACTGTATGTATGAGAACTATATGTTTTTAAACTGGCATTATATGTCTATTTTGTTCTAGTCTCTAGAACTGAGTGAAGGTACTGCAAATCCCATCATGGCAAGTGTGGTTCAGATCCATTGTTGGTTGTGTTCACAATGCTCTCTGGATGTAGGTAAACTACAACTCCTCTAAATCATGGTGAATTCTTCCCAAACCTCTTGTTCAGTTGTTGATCAATTCCTGTTTGCTGTGTGCCATAGGAAAGGGTAGGAAAGGGTTAAGTGAGAGGCAGTGGGTGAAGTTATGCAAATTTGGAGAGAGAAAGGAACCCTGGGATATCTATTCTGGAGAAAAAAAACAGAACATCTAGGATGAAATGGACCCTGAATGAATGCATTCCATGGGAGATTGGTGTTTGGGGAGGACATTGACAACGTTTGGGCTACATGTTCATGGTGCTCGCTCTAACATGCAATGTCAGTTGAGGGAGTGCATTTGGAGGGTTCTCAGCACTTGGAACTATAGCCTGTTTGTGGAGGCCATACACATAGATAGAACATGAATGGATGGATGGTTGGTTGGATGGATGGATGGATGGATGGATGGATGGATGGATGGATGGAGCAAGCAAGCAAGCAAGCAAGCAAGCCCCTGGTGGGCTAAAGCGCTGGGCTGCTGAACTTGCTGTCCAAAAGGTTACAGGTTCGCATCTGGGGAGCAGGGTGAGCTTCTGCTGTCAGCCCCAGCTCCTGCCAACCTAGCTATTTGAAAACATGCAAATGTAAGTAGATCAATAGGTACTGCTCCGGCAGGAAGATAATGGCGCTCCATGCAGGTATCTTACCCTGGACATGACTGGACTTAATGTCAGGGGAAAACCTTTACCGATAGATAGATACATAGATAGATAGATAGATAGATAGATAGATAGATAGATAGATAGAGGAAATTGCATGTCCATACGTGGGCATAAGATTGAACTGAAACCCCATGGCTCAGAAGCTGTCAGATTTTATGAGCTCACTAGACTTCTGATATCCCTCAAAGTATTTTCCCCCTCATTTTCCAGCATTACCTTTTCTGAGGAAAGGACTGATACTGTGGTTCATCACACAGTCAGGAACAAGGCTGTAGTTCACCATCTTGTTGCCCTTCATTGACTCAAAGGAAGCATTTTCCACCACGGAGACAACCGCAGCTGCATCTAATTCCTTGCCTAGGAACCGGCAGATGCGAAGAACACTGTCCTGTAGGTTCTAGGAAGATGTAAAACAAGCTATGAATCCAAATAAAGAGTGCCAGTCCTTGGGTGGAAAAGCTTCTGGGTCTTAACTGGGGCAGGAAGGAGTGAAAGGAAGACCAAAGAGATAATGTTATTTTTAAATCATTCACCTTCAGCAATTCATCATAGGTTAGAAGGAGAAAGTTTGTCTGATCTTTGTAGGTCAACCAGCTCTTGACGTGATCAAACCAGGTGCCAAAGAGAACTGAAAGAAACGGATGAAAAGAAAGAAACATTTTGTTTCTGTTTTAAAGGGGACTTGTTTAAGATTAAATGCGAAGATGTTAAGACTGTAGTCAGACTTGCTTGGGAGCAATCCCCATTGATCTCAATGAGATATACTGTCAAGGAAACATGCATAAGGTTGGGCTTTAACCTTGTACACCAAGAACCACGTTTTCAGCTAAAAGAGTGAGCAAGAGGAGCTGAAAGGTGCTGAAATATAATCTAATGGGATCTATTTTTAACTGCTAACAGCTCAAGCAGATTGTAAGAACGGATTTAACATCAAAAGAATACAAATATTTAGCACATAATAGAATCCGACAAAGAACTGACGCTATGCCTGATCCGCTACCATAATTTAATTGGTTCCAGGTCAGGCATACCTGACCCCCAAGCAATGAGAAACGATCCATCAGATTTATCAATGGTGTCTTTTTTCACTTGCTGCAGGTGAGCAGTGTGGCTTCCTAGGAAATTAAGAGCGTCTACAAATTTAGCCTGAAACGCAGCATAATTCATTTGTTAAATTAAGAAAGAAGAGAAGAAGGATGAATAAGGTAAAATGATAAGATAGCAGATGCCGATGTGGTGCAACTGGGAAGCCATCTGGAATTAAATCAAGACGAAGACTGCATCTCATGGGCAATTTTTTACATTGATGCTTTATGCCAAGTCAGAGGTGGGGAATCTTTGCTACCCTTTCAAAACATTTTGGAATACACCCTTCCAATGTCTCACAATTAGCTGTGCTGTCTTGGGCTTCTGGGAAATAAAGTCCAACACATTGGAAGGGAAAAATGTTTGCCATCCCAGTATAAAACAATCGAACACACACACACATAGACTGTTTTTAAATAATTCATGACTCCATTTGAGGTCTCTGTCCACATACTTTTCCCTGAACAAAACATCTCCAGAAATTCTCCAAAATCCTCCCTGTAATCCAGAAACGACGACATCTTGGCATAATAATAGAGTGACACACAGACATCTCTTGGGTCACGAACGGTGTAAATGACCTAGAAAAGAAGGTTGATAGGTGATGGATCAGAGCTGGGCAAGGTGCATTTTGAGGACTACATACACCAATATCTCTAAACAAAGTGTTGTTATGGATTGGTATCAAGGTGTCTTTGGTGTATGGAGACTCTAACTAAGAATAGCTCTTCTCAGATCTTACCAATTCAGGGCCATGACTTCCCTGATGCAATTTATGCATCTGGAATTAGGTCTTTTTCTACTGCCTTCTGTTGGAGCATGTAAGAAATCAGTTGGTGAATGTGTTAACAGTAAAATGCAAAGCACAAAGCTGATTGGTTGGGCCATACCTGGAGAGCTAGCTGAGCCTGGGAGTTTTGGCTACAGGTCCTTTTTTAGGCTTGAGCTGTGCAGGTGCTTGCAGAGAGAGAGACAGGTTCATTCATGAGCTACTGAAAAGAAGGTTTTCCACATGGACACCGAAAGACCATTCTGAATCCTTCTAAAAGGACATTGTGTGGGTCAATGCAACTATTCACATGTACGTATATATGTTGCTCTGCATTACAAAGAGTAAACTCATCATCTGCGTGGCATTTCCCCCCCTCTGGCAAAACAGTGTGTGGATTGATATAATGTGAACTACACATGATTTTTCATTATGCCACACTTTTCCCCTTACAAAACATGATCATAATGTCATCTGATTAATGTCCATGTTATGATAGCCTCAGTTTAGTCATTTTTACTTGTAGGAAGAGTACAGACTTGATTTGCTCTTGAACCCACTTATTGGTCCATGTTATCTGTACAACTCTTCTCCAGCAGCACACTTCAGATGAGTTGTTTTTATTCCTAACAGCTCTCTTTGTTATCCTGTTTTCACAATTATCGCTAAACAACAGGAATGCTACTAACTGCATAGTCTTTGTACATAGTTTGCAAAGGGGAAATCTGGGAACTGCAGGCCAAAAACAGGAACTCTTCTAAGCTCTGGATGGAGAAATCCAATGCCAACTGTTATTCTCATGCTATGAGGTGAACTTTCTGAGGCGTGTGAAGCATTGCCAGAGAGAAACAAACATTTGTCTTCCACAAGGTCCATGCTTCTTAGGGTCAGGAGGAAAGACCAATCTCACCATATGATTTGCACAATATAATAAGCTCTAGGATTTGTCCATTATACTAATGGCCTCATTAACAGTAACAGGGTCACTGAATCCTCTTTTACCATCACCACCCACCCGAGCTCCAGAATCACCTTTGCCTGAGAAGTGAAGAAAGATTCTGGAAAGATGAAAGGAGGCAAGTGGGAACTTATGAGTCGGGGGCTGGGCCGGTCCTCCAAGTATGTAGCTCCTGTGTTTTGCTCAAGCCAAGGCACCCGCTCCCAGGAAGGCATCGACTGGGCCAGAGTAGGGTTCCCATCACTATGGATCAGGGTGAGAATTTCTTGCATCCAAGTTGTTCCTAAAAGAAATGGGCATAAGTAAAACCTTCTCCTGGAATCTGCAAGAGAACTGGATTCCATAACATGTAAGGGGTGATCTTCTTGGTAAGATTTTGGAAAACTGAACGCTACAGTAAAAAAAAAACTACCAGTTAAGACAAAAGTGAACTAGGGCTAAGGTAGCAATGGGGGAAAAAACCAGCAAGATGAGGGAAGGCTAGGCCTCATCACACTAGAGAGAGAAAATCCACTTAAAATCTGGTTTCTGCCTCCTGCAGAATTCTGGGGTTTGTAGTTTAGGGAGGAACCTTTAAAAGCCTCACTAAACTACAAACCCCAAAATTCTGCAGGAGGCAGAAACCGGATTTCAAGTGGATTTAAAGAGAGGGGGAATGGAAAAAAATACCAGTTGAAAAGCAGAAAGCTCAGACGAGGGGAATGTTCAAAAGGAGCAGAAAGAGGAAAAAGGGCGAAGCAGGAGAGGGAATAAAGGAGTAGAGAATCTGAGAAATCTGGTAACAGCTGGGACCAAGAAGAAGAAAAGATGAGGCAAAGTTCCAAAAAATAAGCTTGTGTGCGCATGCTCAAAGGATGCTCAAAATTGGGACCATAATACTAAACTGCTCAGTTTTGGTGTGGTACTTTTTCCTTTTGCTCACCCAGCAGGGTGACTTGGCCAATTAAACCTGTTGAAACTATTTCCTTGCTCTGATGTCTGACCAGATAGAGACCCTAGAAATTTTGGGGCCATAAAGGAAAAAAGGACATGGCATTAAGTCCCAACAAAACTATATTTATTTATTTATTACATTTATATTCCGTCCTTCTCATCCTGAAGGCAACTCAGGGCGGCTTAAAACAGAGGCACAATTTGATGCCTTAAGTACATATAAAAATAAAACAACATATACATCCTATTTCAAGGCATGAAGCATCTTCCTATAATAGAGCAGAATGGAAGCTGTGGCCCCAAGGCCCTCTTTTTAAGACCCTAAAATCCACCAAGTCCCCCAATCTTCCCAATTTAAAAAACAAAAACATGAAAATCAGCCCCAGATCACACAAACTGCCACCAGCACAATTTAACAACTACCACCTCCCCCATAAAAAAAGACCCAAAATCAAATACTTGGGGCTGATTTTCATCACCATTGCAGCATGCACTTTTCCCTCAGCTCTACTTAGGAATTCACTGCACTTGAGTCAGGACCCAGTTCTGATTCTGTTTTCAGCCATGATGTTGTTTTTATGATTGTATTATGTTTTTATTTGATTGATTTTAATGTTGTTGTTTTTATCTGTTATTTTTGGGCTTTTCCCCTGTAAGCTGCCCTGAGTCCCCTTGGGGAGATTTATTTTATTTTATTTATTTGGGGATATGGTGGCAGGGTATAAAAATAAAGTTATTATTGTTATTACTATTATTAGTTTATTTATTTTATTTACAACATTTATATGCCGCCCTTCTCACCCCAAAGGGGACTCAGTGCGGCTTACAAAATATATATACATACAATATATTATATTATTAGCATAGTATAATATCAGTATTAAATATTACTATATTGTACTATACCATTATATTGTAATATTATTAGTAATATTACATGTAATATAAATATATAATTATAATATCATATTATTATTATTAATATTATATTGCATTACATTATAATATTATAAATATCATATGTATATACAATATATTATAATACATTATTTTATATTAAATACTTCTAACCCAGCCTTRGTTCCTTGCTGAGAAAAGAGTRGATGTGTGTGTGYGTGTGTGTAATAATAATAATAACCTTGTCTMCTGTGCTATGCTAATAATATAATATAATATAATATAWTATAATATCTCTTCTTAYCCTTGGTMTRRAAAATATGGTTGTTATTATTATTATTATTATTATTATTATTATTATTATTA